GGCATTCTTATTGAAAGTGTATATGTTGCTTTGTTTCTCCTTTTTGCTCCTACAAAGATGAAGGTAAGCCCTACATTATCGAAGTAGTTATGATAAAGGGTTTCTGATTATAAGACTTTCCAAAAAATTTAGGAACAAAACCTCTTATTTTGATTCTGAATCTACTTTCTTGGAAGAAAATAAGTTTCTTTTTTTGAATTGCATTGAATAAGAACTGCCAGATTTTAAACTTTTCCAGCTGGGATTTTCGAGATACAATCTTGATTCGGCAAAATTTACATTAGTTTCTTGTCAATGAAAGTTTGATTATGTTATAATGTAACAAATTTTTTGACTTCTGACTTCTTAACCAATTAGGACTCATTCATACATTATCAAATCTAGTTTAGATCCTGGAAGTTAATATAAATTTCTCTACTACTTTTTCTTTTTCATGATATTCAAGGCTAAAACCATGGCTATGGCAGCGATTTTGGACGTCGGTTTTCCGGTTGCAGCTATTTTAATCACTAGATTAACTCTGCAAGAGGAAGCACAGATTAATACTTTAGGATTTTTGTGTGCTGGCCTGAATATCATTACATACGGCTCTCCTTTAGCCGCAATGGTAAGAAAATACGTTCTCATGTCTCATTCTTTTTCATTGTCATCATCCTGTCATATCATATCAATTAATAGTGATGTTTTATAAGTAATTCATATTCAAGAATAGTTTGCTTTTTTTTGGCAACTTGATTTTTGTTTTTCTGTTTTCACGAATCGAAAGGACATATACTTGATTAACAATAATTCATTTGCTAGGTTCTCTTCTTTACCTAATCCTCCACCCTCAAATACACCAATATCCTCACTGGCGAACATTATAATTAGTATCGTGCGAATAAATAGTACTGAATTTTATAATTGATTTCATTTTTCATAATGAGATCTTTTTCATTTTTTATAATATATTGAATCGCGTCATTTGATATCTTGAGTGGTTTAACTGCACTTAAATGTATTCATTTATATGTATATCCTCAACGAATTTCGTATGAAAATTTATTAATTCATTGTTAGCTTTTGATATTTTCAGGGTAGAGTGGTGACAACAAAAAGTGCCGAGTACTTACCCTTTTCCCTCTCATTCTCCATTTGCATAAATGGAGCCATCTGGACGATTTATGCAATATTAGTGCACGATTATTTCATCGGAGTAAGTAATTTACATTTATTCACAATTATAATTTTAGTGTGCACATATAATTGCAATCGAATAGTCAATAAATTTCGTAAATATCATACAAAATGATAGTTTAAAAAACGTACAATGTCTATTAAAACCCATGATAAGAAACCAATTGTTTTAAGCTCAAGACATGTTATATATCAGTTGTCGGATAAAGGGAATTAAGGAAGACAAGACCTGTCGAATTTTCCTTATTAAAGTTTCCAACTTTCAACGGGGATGAATAATTATAGTAATTTTTTTTAATGATATATTGTGTTTGTTAATGTTTACAGGTATCAAATGGGTCGGGTTTTGTACTGGGAGCAGCACAATTAGTCCTCTATTATATGTATCCATCAAAACATAAAGTGGGCGCATTGGAGGAGAAAGGGCAACATGAACCCCTTATTCTACCTTCAGAACAAGAAGTTGACTGCAACAATCAAGTTTAGAAGTAATAGAATGTAATTTGAACAAATTTTATATTATATGTGAATAATGATGATCATCTCGTTTGAAAATTTTAAGTTGATTGACAACGCGTGCTTTTAGTCTTCAACACATCTCAGGTTACACATCACAAATGAATTTAGTGTGACCACACGGTCATGGCTTTCACGGGTACCTTGTATGTAGTTAGGTAAACTTGGCCAAAATATGACACCTAAAAGGCTTGACATGCACAATCATATCCTATTCCTATCCGAAGTTTTGTCTATGTGTGTTATTCTAATAAATGACAAATGAGCCTATAAATTCCCCCGTTTTGGTACGAGTTTATAAATTTAGCCAATGTTAAACATTAATTTCAATTCTACATTCATAATTACAATTCATTATTATCCACTCATTCTGTACAACCAAGTATTATTTCTCTTATATACCATTTATAAATTTTTCAAAGAAGGCTTAATAAATGAATAAAAGCGAGATTTAAATCTAGAATATTTACTTGATCTAATACCATCTCAAATCACATCTAAAATCTTATACAGGTAAAGAGGAGACATTCATTTAAAAAAAAAAAATGTCTTATACACTTCCATTTGTATGACCAATTATGTAATATTATATTACAAGGTAAAAATTATACGAAGTAAAATTTATAGTGCAAAACATTATTAGATGCATAATGTGATACAATCAACTCTTTTTCAAGTTATTATGGTGGGCTCCATTGATCAGTGTCATCCTTTCATTGACTTCTCTACCACATCGATCATCTTGTCTACATATCAAGCTTAGCTCACAACTTCGATTTGCCCTGAGGACTTAATAAAAATATTATTGGTGAATCGACTAATTATATACAAAAATCAGAGGCTTGTTCGATCAACCAAGTCGAGAAGCGGTGGGAGTCAAGGCAAGAAACATGTTGGGTGCATATGAGTGGCATGTGTTAGGTGGTTCTTTAATTTCGAACGAACTAATTGATCCCTTTCTTGTTCTTAGAGATACTGAACAAAAACGCGGTTCAATAATTGATTAAGAATGATTTGACTCATTTTGGGAGTATATGGAGAAGTGTGGTGTGAAAGAGGCTACTCCATTGTCCATTTAATGGCAGCAGACTTAAAAAAAATTTAATATACATATAAGGCAAATCAGGGGCAAACTGTACTAAAATTAAGAGTACGCGGATTGGCGACAAACAAGTCTATCGAGTACACTACGAGATATATATATCTATGAAAATCGTGAACGTCACAAGTGAATGAATATGAGGATATAATACTGGTTATCAGGGGTTTAGAAATCGCTTTCTCTTTTAACGTTTGACTATTAAAGTGAGGCTTTTTTTTGGGGGGCGGGGGATGAGTTTTGAAATAGTGATTTTTCGAAATATATATGATTCAAAAGTAGGAAAAAATTTTGAATTTACATGTAAAATATTTTATTGTGAGAATGTATAGTCGAAAATGTGTTTAAGAAAAAAATATTTAATGATTGTTAAACAGTGGCTTTATAAAATTACATGAAAAGTTAATCATCTTTTTGGTCTATCTCAATCATGAAGCCCGTGGGGGTGCCGCCGGG